AAAAAAAAAAAAAAAAAAAAAAAAAAAGATTTGTTTTGCTATTGCGTATCAAACTCGGGCCCTTGTGCTTGAGAGGCAGATGCTGGAGCCACTGAGCTAAATCCCTGGCCCTTATTTTAAAAAACTTTATTGTTATCCTTAAATAAGCAGGTTATATTAGTTTTGATTCTGTTAAATCCTTGTAGAAGATTGAGATTCACTTTACTTCTTACTTTTTCTAGTCCTGGGAGACAAACCCAGGGCCTCATTTGTGCCTCGTGAGCACTGTAACACTGAGCTATACCTTCTAGTCCTGAGATTTTTTTTTTCTGAAAAAGTGTTTAGCAACAGAATAATTTGCTAAAGCAATTTAGTTTGAATCATTTTTCTTAGTGAAAGGAATACATCTTAACTATAAATTTAACTTCTGTCTTTGGGATTCATTTTAGGGTATTAAGATTATTCTAGGGATGGGCATGGTGGTGTACACCTATAATCCCAGCACTTTGGGAGGATTGCAAATTCATACCAGGCCTGGGCAATTTAGGGACTCAACAAGATCCTCCCTCAAATTTAAATTAAAACTAGGCTGGGACATAGCTCGGGTCCTGAGTTTATTCCCTAGTACTATACTGCAAAATCATTCAGTCAATCAATCAATAAACAATGAATAAAACAGATTAGGAGCTGGGAATGTAGCTTAGTTGTGGAAGGCTTGTCCAGCTTGCACAGGTGCTGGGTTTGATCCTCAGCACTATAAAAAATAAACAAAATTATTCAAATAATGAAAGAACAGCTTTAAAACCAAAGACAGAAAAGTAGAAACAAACTTTATCTTTCCCATGCCATGGGCTCCTCACTTATGAAAGGAATATAACTTATATTTCTCTATTATTTCACAATCTATAGTGTTCTTACATCAATGAAACCATCTTTCTTGATTATCATCTATAAATTTCTTTGGGGTAAAAGAGATATTAAGAAAACCTGAGACATTTAATAAATTAAAACTGCCTTATTCAAAATGAATGGGATACTGCCTTACTCTACTTCACAAGATGAAGGTTTAAGATACTAGTTTTAACACTATTGGCTCAGTATGGTGGCAATCTATCATAGATTTCCTGGGACAGTCCGAATTTGTACCTACCATTTGGGTCAATTATTAACATTACTTCATTTTACCCTATACGTCTCCAGGTTTGATGATAAATTATAGTCACCCTTATCACCACCAGTACTGTTGACACGTTTAATCAGGACTGTACCTAAACAGATCATTAGTTTGTTTTAGTCAGTTATATCCCTCAAGTGCTAATATACAAAGTAAGCCAGTAAAAATGTAAAGAAGGATGTGAGTGAGCATTTCTGAAAGTTACAGCTTATTTAGGCCATAAAATTAAAGCTTTACACTGATAAATTAAAAAAAAAAATCTCACTTGGGAGTGCATCTTTTTTGGGCTTGGAGAAACTTCACTATCAGATGCAGTTTGATTATCTAGTTCAGAATCTGCTCCTGAAAAACTAAAGACAGGCATTTCATTAAAGGAATTATCAATTTTCTGAATAGGAATCAAAACAAATTTTAAAGTTAACTGAATTAAGCAATTTTTAAGATCAAATAAATTCTAACTTAGATGACATAACTTACTCGTGTGATTCTTCTTTCCTTAGCTGTAAACAGGAAAAAAGAAAGAAAAAAATTTTGGTTTAAAGTTTTTTCTGTCTAAATGAAGTAAATTTACTCTAAAAACATACATATGTAGGGGATAAAAAATGAATTAAGATGTGTTATATATGTGTACCAACTCCACACAATTAATAAAATTATGTAGTACAAATAAGCACTAATAAAAATAAAAGTTAAATTTTAAAAATATATACGTACCCTGGAAACCAAAGAAGAGAAGATAATTAATAATTTTGATTCTACTGACAGCGGGGGCAGCTCTTCCAATGGTATGCCCTTGTGTATTTTTTCTTTTAAATTTGTATATCTAACTTTTAAATCTCCCAAAATGGACAGTAGTGCTAATCCTAATTTCTTCTTAGCAGAACTGCTTGGTAAATTCCTGTTCAAAGTTCACAAAACTGAATTACTAATGCTCAAGTCATCCATTCAACACTAATATATTATACAGTTAGTTCTAATTCTATCAAATCTTTAAATTTTCTTTTAATGTTGAGAAAAATAAAAGGAACCACAGTAGATATATTTTTATAGGGACAGTACAAGCAACCACTGATAAATACACACACACACACACACACACACACACACACACACACACACAGTCTAATGAGAATGGGCAAAAGATCATGAAAAACTTTCTTACTGGAACTTTATAAAGAGGCATTAACTTTGTCTTTTCACTGGATTCATTGTTATAACCATGCACTATTGCCTACCTATGAGGTTACTTTTTAAAGTCCATTACCCTTAAGAGAGTTTACAATCTAATCCTCTTTCCACCCATTAAAATGAAAATTAAAGCTAGGTGTGGTAGCAGATATATATTAGCAAGAACCTGTCTCAAAGAAAAAAAATTTTTCCCCGAATAAACTAGTAATAAGTTTGTATGAAATTACAGATTTAGAGTTTATAAACACCTATTTAATCCTTTATTTTCCATGATAAATTTGTAAATGTCACAACAGTTATGATGACACATTTGATAGTGAACATTTAAAAGGTGCATCTCTGCTTCTATAGCTCTCTGCATTATTTTCTCGTAGCACTTTGATGGTAAATTCTTCTCCATCTCTTCAGAGATCTGAAATTTCCTTTAAAAATAACAGATAGGACTAGGTAAGATTCCAGACATTTTTCTACTGTAATGATGTGTTCCAGAAACAGATTTTAAATTTCTTAGATTTCCTTCCCCAGGTTAAATAAATTCTTACTAAAGATGGAGAAGCTGTAGGAGCATATAACAGCTTCAGAAAACAAGGATATCAGGACTCAGCTAAATAGATTCTTTCTATGAGTTAAGGAAATACGTAATTTGTGAATTCATATTTTTTTAATCAAAGGATTCTGAAAGTAATGACTTCATCCAACCAGAATGAATAACTGCTTTTTGCAACCTAAATTAAGGTTTAACTGTAATCTTTTTCAAGTTATAAACATTCCAGGTTGAAATTGTTCTTAAATGTATTACCTTCAACAGGAATTAGATAATTTGTATTTGTTAGAAATTTAGGGTCATTAATATAAGCAAATATTTTATTGTGATATTACACCAAAAAGCCCCAAAGACTACGTTTTCAAGTGTTACAGTTTCTGGAAGTTTGCTGTTGTTACCGGTCACCACTTCCAGCAGTTCCAGAAACCAATCCTACCTAAATTTAGAGAGTTGGGATACTAGATTAAACATTAGAAGATGGGATGGGGCTGTGGCTCAGTAGTACAGGATTTGCTAGCATGGGGGAGGGCCCTGAGTTGGATCTCCAGTGCTGCAAAAGAAAAGAGCAAGAATGAAAACATGTATTTTTTAAAATAAATAAATATTTGAAGAATATAGAATGAGTGAACAAAAAATAAATGAGTCGAGAATATGGTAATTAATTTGACTCTTTAGATACTTCCCTGTTTCTCTCCCCTCCCACTTCTTAGTCCTCCATGAGTTTTAAGAAATGCAAAGTAAATAATACATTGAATTAAAGTTAAAATTAAAATACTTCAGCTAACGTAGCTATACTTCAAGCATATGACATTTTCTAAAGGCGCTGTTTTGTTTTGGCCCACAGGGGAATCAAAAGAAAAAAAAATAAAAAAGAAAATTAAATCAGGCTGTGGCTTTAGCTCAGTGGTGCTGCCACCTGCTTCGCAAGCGCAAGATCCCGAGTTCAATCCCCAGTACCAAAATAACTCAACAACAAAAAAAATCAAGAACCTTAAATCAGTATGGACTTTTGTTTCAATAAAGTAAGCTGCCATAAGTAACTGAAGGAATCACTGAGACTCTAATCTCATAAGAGCCTCAACATTCTATATTGTTTTGATACTCTACATATTGTAGAGAAAATCACTGAAGCACATAATTTAATGTTCCTTTTAGCTCTAATCTAATCACATATATCATAACCACATAATCTGTATGGTTAAATATATTACACACAAAACAAATACTACCAAGGTTTTTGCACGTGCAACCACATTATACATCTGACCTACCTCTCAGAGTTTTTCTTTAAGTCTGTGTTATCATATGTTTTTAATTCCAGGGAATCCTAAAAACAGAGTTCAAAATTAATTCATAAATATATGACAGACAATACATGTTAAGTGATTTTTTTTTTTTTTAACATTGCTAGCGATCTAACCCAGGGTATTATACATGCTGGGCAAGCATGCCACCACTGAGCTACATCCCTAGGCCACAATGCAAATACATAGAATTTCAAACTGATAAAATGTAAAACTAAATTTTAAAAGGACTTTGTGGCAATAGCTCCCACCACAGGACAGAGCTAGTGACAATCTGATATAATCAACCAAATATAATTACATTAATATATATTTTATAAAGTAAAATCATTTTGGGGGGAGACAGTCTTGCTATACAGCTCAGGCTGACCTTGAACTCCCTATGTAACCCAGGGTGCCTATATAGTGAATTTGAATTGATCTTCCTGCCTCCTCCCAAGTGCTGGGATTACAGGCATGCACCATCACACCCAGACTAAAGTAAAATGAATTTATAAAGTAAAATTTCATTATTGGTCATACTGATTTTACCTTATTTTGGAAATTTCCACTGGGCTTTGAACTGTCAACTCCGAGAGATTTTCCTGACCCTTTTGTTACAGCAACTGGTGTATCCATGCAATCCTGACCATATGACCAATCTGTGTTACAAGCCACACTTTTTTGTTTTTCACTTTGCCATTTGCTGGGACGCTTTTTACTCATCATGGTTATCTCTGTATTGCTTGATGTAGATACTACAGAAGGTCTTGCATTTGTTGCTCTGCTGGTTGTGAAACAAGCCCTAAAATCTGTGCTAACATCCACTGTTTGATGTACTGCGACTGTACAACCTGCTGCATCTATCACTGATGTAGAATATGTTCCTTCTCCATCCTCAGAGCATGCTCTGTTCACGCTCCTGACATTTATAGCTCTTTGGGAGCTATCCTCTGTGACTGCCCGAACACCTCTCATGGCAATCCTTGGTGGTACAGCAGGAGAACTCAAGGCTGGGTCAGGCATGCTTTGTAGGCTTTTATAATGGGAACATCCATGGGCAGAGATGACTGAGTCATCAAAAATAGAAGACCAGGAAGTTTGGCAAACCTCAGAGAACTCCTGTAGGGTCTCTAAAGCTTTGTCCTGGGGCAGTGTGCTTCGACTTTCAAGGTGCTGTGAGATTCTGTTCTCCACAGCTGCATTTCCACAAAAATCTTTATTTTCAGAAACCTGAGATTTCACTTTTTCAGTATACATTTTAGTTTTTAGTGTTTGAGGGTTCAAGAAATCATTCTTAGACTGAGATTCTTCATTTCCAAGAGAATTACTTCTCTGTACAAATACTGTGGGAAACATTAAACTAGTCTCTCGTTCCTTACACTTTTCATGCTTTGGTTCATAATACTCTTTTAACAGATCGCAATTCTGAAATTTAGAGACACAAGGTATATATTCTTGTGCAAAGTCATTAAGTGAATCTGCAGAGATAACAGAGCTACTTTCCAGGGTAATGTGCTCATCTTCTGGATTGCTAGCACTTTCAACTTCATAACTCAAACTTCTTAGCTCAGCTCCCAGGTTAGACACGCTCAGTGTTCCAGCTCGGATGGGAGATGGATGGCTACTCATCTGCTCTTGCTCTTCTGCACTGTAGTATCCCAGCAGGGAGTCTTCGTCTACGCCACACTTCTGCGTTTCTCCAGCAGTTTCTTCACAGTCAGCACCTGAAATCTCACAGGTTCTTCCCAAGGCAACAGTTCTAGTACCCTGAGGTTTCAATACATCAAAAAACACTTCCTCTCTTTCTTCCATTCCAGAATCTAATTCTGGATTTAAATTAGTAATGTTTTCATTCTTTGGAGCTGACTCTGAATAATATATACAGTATGTTTCATTCAAAAAAGCACAGTTGATACTGTCTTCAAACTTGCTTGATTGAGCACTCTGTATATTAGCATCTTGATTTTCTGAAAAAGGTGATTCCAATAAACGTGTTGTGTCAATATTACCGATTTCTCCGACCTCAGCTCTTGGCTCTCGTGTCAAAGAATTCCATTCATCATCAGGACAAGTTGGTGTGACTTCATCACAACCACTGGAAGATTTCTTAGAATGAGAAGATAGATCTGATAAAAAATAAAATAAAATATTAACAGAAACATTTCAGAATTTGAACACCAGAAAGATCTTAGACATGACCTGGTCCAAGACCTTCCCAGCACAGGGCTACTGTTTGCATTACGCACGACAGACACCTGCTGTGGCAGCTGCTACAGACTGCACTGTGCCCTCCACAAGGGATGCTACTCAGAGACAGGGTAATTAGACTTAAATGAGATAAGGAGAGCAGGACCCGCAGGACTGGGTTAGTGTCCGCGTAAGAGACGCAGAGAGCAGCTTCTCCTTTCTCTTATGGAAGGACATAGCAGAATGCAGTCATCTACAAGCCAGCAAGAGATGTCTCAGCAGAGCCTAACCGTACTTGTACCTTGATCTCTGGAGCAACGACTAAATAAATTTGTTCAGCCTCTCCATCAATGGTACTTTGTACAGCAACCTGAGCTAACACAGAAGCCATGATTCTCTCTGAATTTCTTCAGTGACCAGGTTTTCTATCTGAAGGGCAGCCACTCTGTCAGTAGAGAGGTCTAATAAAATTATTTAATAAACTTTGAGTGTATCCTAGTCTCAACCTTAGGCATTATACAAACAAAGGGAAAATAGACACAGGTTCTTCCTCAATTCCTCATGGCTTTCACAGGAGTCACAGATAAGCACATAAAAATATAATACAGGTAAACAAAATTACTGACATAGATCTACTGCTAGATCAGACAAATTTGACAAGGAAAGAGAAACAGATTGCAGAGAAAACCTTACATTTAAAAAGTGTTTGAAACAAAATAGGCAAAATTCTCTTAGGCAAATTCAACAGCAAATAGCTGTGTGAAAGAGTGGGAAATTTTCAGAAACTGCAGGCCAGCTTGCCAGGAGTAAGAAAGTTCTAGAAGTATGACAGGAATTTTTGACTGAAAAGGGCCTTTTATGATTTGCTGAGGAGTCTGGCTCTTATTTTAAGGCAAGCCTTTTCAAAGGGTAACCATGTGACTGGAATTGAGCTGCAGACAGCTGAGGCAACAGGAAGAATGAAGGTTGGAGGAAGAAAGCAAAGGCTGGTGGGCCAAGAGTGCAGAGGTGGCACTGGAGTAGAGGCTAGTGTAAAAGTTCCTCAAACAGGGCTGGGGGATTTAGCTCAATGGTGCCACCACCTGCCTTGTAGGCACAAGGTCCCAAGTTCAATTTAAAAAAAAAAAAAAAAAAAAAGAAAAAGTTCCACAAATAGCCCGGTGTAGTGGTGCACACTTGTAATCCTAGCACTCATACTCCGGAGGCTGAGGCAGGAGGACTGCCAAAAGTTCGAGGTCAGCTTGGGCTACATAGTGAGCTCAAGGATAGCCACAACTACAGAGTGAGACCCTGTCTCAGGAAAAAAAAAAAAGTTGTGCAAGCGACAAGTCTTGGCAGCAGATTAGAATTGGCACGGGGAAGAGAAAGAATTGTGTTTTTCATTTTTAAACTAAGACCACAATTAGAAATAAGTTGTATATCAGGCACATACACACACAAGAGAAACCAAAAAAATTTTTTTTTGGTACAGGGGATCGAACTCGGGACCTTGCACTTGTGAGGCAGGTGGCAGAACCACTGAGCTACATCCCCAGCCCGAACAAATATTTCATAAAACAGTTAATTGCAGGGCTGGGAATGTAGCTCAGTAGTGCAGCGTCTTCCTGGCAGGCTCGTCCCTGAGTTCCATGCCTGGTATGAAAAACAAAGAAACAAACAAACACACACACATACAGAGAACAGGAACTGTGCTATGTGCAGAGTAGTCCAGTTTCACTTCAAGAGCTTTTCACGGTCAGCTAAGCTGATTCACGACTTACACACTGGCCACTGCATGCTTAAACAGCAGTCTGGACAATGCCAGGGTTTATAGCTTGGAACTGGCTATAGCTGAATGAGAATATTCAGCACCAAACAGGGACTTTGTGAAGAGCGGGTTTAGAAGATGAAGATGAAAAGCAAGATGGAGGAGCAGCAAGGCAGAGCTCGGTCTGAGAGAGGGGAGTTTGAAGTTAGAAATCAAAGACCCAGATGTCAATGTTCAGTAAGATGTTATAAATGCAGGGCTGAAGACGAGAGATCTGTGCGGGAGCTCTTTACATCTTCTGAGTACCAATTCTTTGGCTTTCATATTTATAACACATGTGAATTAGTTTGATTCTCGGGATCAAATCCAGTGGCATCCATGTCCAAGAAAAGCACTCCACCCTCAATTATATTCCAGCTCTTATTTTTTAAAATTTTGAGACAGCGTCCCCCTAAGTTGCCCAGGCTGGCCTGAAACTTGCAACCTTCCCACCTACCCCAGCTTCCCTAGTAGGTGGGATTACGGGCCTTCACCTCTTTCTCTTAACTTCTTACAGCATGTCGTCATACCAATGTTTTTAAGATTATTTAGTTAAATAGATCAGTCTCCTACAACTTTTGTGTTTTGTGTCTTTGGCTTTCCCCATTACATAATTATAAAAAATATTCACCTACACTTTATTCTAACTCAGTGTGTATATAACACTTAGCCTTTTTCACACTTTATAGAATTAATTTTTCTCTCCCGCATAAGGTAGGAATCTAACTTAATTTTCTTAGAAAATGCACGGTCAAGTGTCCTGCCATCATTTGCCGAAGTTGCCCACTGCCTTCTGAGTCTGTTACACTGCAGAGTGGGTTTGCAGTACCTCCGAGGCTCATATGCTGCAGGCCTGGTCCCCAGCAGGTGGCACTACTGGGAGATGGCGGAATTTAGAAGCTAGGCCGGGTTGGGGAAACGGGCTGTGGGCATGAGCACACCTTGTCTCAGGCCCCTGGCTCTTGCTTCTGCTTCCTTGCCACCATGAGGCGAGCAGCTTTGCTCCAGCACAGCTTTCCACCACGATGCTCTGCCTCAGCACAGGCCCCAATGACAAGGCCGAGCAGCATGGACTGAACCTCTGAACCATGAGCAAAAGGAATCTTTATTTCTTTGAAGTGGTTTATCTCTGGGGTTCTGTCACAATGGTGGAAGGTTTACTAACACAGTTAAATAGCAACTTCAATGTACACTGAAATTCTCTTGGTTCAGTTTCATAATTCTCTAAGGGCCTATTTCTATTTGTTGCTTCATCAACCTATTATCTTTTTGTACAAGAGTATTCATTATTATAGCTTTAATTATTATAGCATCATAAGATATTTTCATATCTGGTAGGTTTTCTTATTTTGAGTCTTTCTTTCATATTCTCTCCTCTAGATTAAAAATGTTTTAAGTTCATATTTTAAAGACTATTTTGAACTGTCTAGCACAATTACATTTAGCATCTAGCATCACTCCCACCCAAAAAGGACATCTGGCTTGGACTCTTACCTTTTTGGAGCTTTTCTCCATTACTGCGGTAGCCTTTATCAGAAGCTAACTCTATCAGTGCAGTAGCCTCCATCACTCAAGGATGAATTATCTACAAAAAGTATAAATATTGAACTATTATACTTGGCACTGTATTTTTAAAAAACTATTAGATTATTAGAGAGGAATTTAACACAGTAGCAGTTACAGTCAAGAATTCTAAGCACAAGCCGGGTGTGGTGGCGCACACCTGTAATCCCAGTACTCCGGAGGCTGAGGCAGGAGGATCTCTGTGAGTTTGAGACCAGCCTGGGCTACAATAGTGAGTTCCAGGGCAGTCTGAACTACACAGTGAGACCCTGTCTCAAAAAACCAAAAGAAAAAAAAATTCTAGGGCTGGGGATTTAGCTCAGTGGTACTGCTGCCTGCCTCATAAGTGCAAAGTCCCAAGTTCGATCCTGGTACAAACAAAACCCAAACAAACAAACAAACAGAACTCCCCCAAAACAAAACAACAACAAAAATAAGATTCTTTTAAGACTTCCAAGAAACAACAATAATAAAAACCAATAAATTTAGGTCATCAAAAAAGTCAATAAAGAAGCAGTGTTAAAGACAATAGTATGATCCCTGTGTTTCCAAAATGCACACTTATTAAAAACCAAAGACAAGGTATATCCATACAACATATATCTTCTAGTAATAAAAGAACAAACTACCAATATATGTTATTTCATAGGTTTTTAGATTTTGGAACATTTGCATAAACTTCATCAGATGAGCATCCCTAACCCAAATTTTCACAATGTTCTGAAACCTAAAAGTTTTTTTTAGCAGTGATGTCCTGTTCAAAAAGTTTCAAATTTTTGAGTATTTGAGATTTGGGTTAGGGATGCTGTTTATATTGTCTACTGGTTTCTTGCTCATGGTGTCATTTTAAATTCCCAGTTTGCCTCTAACTATATGATATTTGATAAATTTGATATCATATTTGATAAATTGTACACTTAACCTGAGCCCAAGGATGATGTTATCTTCCCTTGAAGAGGGTTTTTGTGTGCTACGGTTAGGTGCTATAAGGAACTAGTAATCTAGAAACCCTTTACTTCCACCAGAATTTGAGACTTCTGTAGGCTGCCCAGGTAACTATAGTCTGCGAAAGGGCTGGTTCACTTAAATTGTGGGGCACAGGCACTGGGATCTGAAGTATCCCGGAAGAGATAGCTGACCTGGCTCCCTTTCACTGTCACTGAGGTTTCCAAAGCAGTCTACCCTCTCTGTGATGTCTTTTTAAACTAGAAGATCTGTTTGGGCTTAAAGCTGTTCCTATTGCTAGACTTACTTCTTGGGGTTTCCATTCTTTCCCAAACTGTGGTCTGGTAGTTCTTCCTTACCTCAGTAATTTTTACATACTTTTAAGGAGGTTTAAGAAATATTCATCTACCTTGTTAAACTGTCTTCAATGAATAGGAGACCTAAATTACTCTAGCATTATCCTTCATTTTATAATGCAAATGTAGTCATCATGTGACGTAGTGAAATCAAGGACAACTATTAAAATGTTACAGAGTTTATTAGTTTGTGACATACGTGAAAATAGGCAGTTTTAGAGGATTTCAGAAAAAGGTATTCCTATAGTTTTACAACAGTGAGAAATACTTAAAAAGCAGATACTGTGGCACAAACAGTAGAATCCCAACTCTTCTCCCACATTCTCACGCCTTTGCACAGAGGAAAGCCAGTACTCCATGGTTCTGGGCTGGACTAGCCGCATGAGCTCTCACCATGCACGTGTGCGTATGTGACAACTCTCAAGGGTTCCCCCAGACAGCTCTCCGGACTTCTTTCAGCTGCCAACGGTCACAGTTCGGTCTTTCTGGGCTTCAACCTTCATCTCAACTCTCTCTGCTTTGCTTGGCACCCTTCCTCTGTGGTCTGTTTTCATTTTTGTTTTTGGTACCGGGGATTGAACTTGGGTCCTTGCCTTGCAAAGCAGGCACTGGAACCAGGAAGCTAAATCCCCGGCTCCCTACCTCCATGGTCTGTAATGTGCCTCCAAGCAGGATGCTCGCTATCACAGTGCTCAGGCTACACGTGGCCTTTTCCTTACAAATCAGCTCTGCTGCTCCACTGTCCAATGTCATTCAACAGTTACCTCACACACAGGACCCAGTGTTTAAGATGTCTTAACAGCACTGTGGTAAATCCAGTGTCATCTGTTACTCTGTCACAGCCAGAAGCCTAAATATCCTGAGAGTATGTTTTAGGACTACCATAGGATTAAAAGTAATTTATGAGAAGATAACAAGTCTCGCAGTATTTGGAAATTAAATAACATACTTGTAAATAATCCACGGGTAAAAATATATCACAATGGAAATTAAGAAAAATTTTGAACTCAACAGTTATGAAGACATCACATATTTCTGGGCATGGTGGTGTGTACCAATAAGCTGAGTTCTCTGGGAAGCTGAGGCGGGAGGATTGCAAGTTGGGCAACTCTGTAAGACCCTGTCTCAAAATGATAAAGATTGGGATGTAGTTCAGTATGAAAGCCCTGGATCCAATTCCCAGTACCATCCCTTAAAAAAAAAGAAAAAAGCACCTATCTAAATATGTGGTATGCAGCCATGAGAGGAACAGATAGCTTTCCATGCTTATATTATAAAGAAAATGGGCAGGGATTTAGCTCAGTGGTGCCGCCACCTGCCTTGCAAGCACAAGGTCCTGAGTTCAATTCCTGGCAGCCCCCTGCAAAAAGAAAGGAAGGTTTTAAATCAACTATTTAAGGTTCTATCTTTAAAAACTACAAAAGTATGCACAAGCACAAGGTCCTGAGTTTGATCCCTGGTACCGAAAAAACCAAAACTACAAAAGTAGAATAAATTAAACCTGAAGAAAGTAGGACAGAAATAACAAAGAGAAGTAAATGAGATAAAAATAGGTAACTAGTTAAGGACTAAAGCTGCTTATTGAAAGTATGTACACAATCTATGAGCCAGGGACATTGGTGCGCACCTGTAATCCCAGTTACTTCAGAGGTGAGGCTAGAGAATCAAGAGTTTGAGCTCAGCTCTGTCTCAATGACCCCCCAAAACAACAAAAACCCCTCAAAAAACAAAAAATGAAATACACATAAATTCATAAACACTTCTCAAACCTTATCTAAAACACAAATCATCAACATCCTACTAATAAAGGGAGTGTTACTACAGAACCTACCAATGGACATTAAAAAGATAATAGGGATATAATAAACAATTTGTCTCATAAATATTATAGTTCAGATGGGCATAGTTACTTGAAAACCACAAACTCCTAAGATACAAGAGATAAACAATGTGATACTCCTATATGTCTTAAGGAAATGAAATCTATAGTTAAAAACTTTCCCTCAAGAGCCAGGCGTGATGGCACACACCTGTAATCCCAGCACTTGGGAGGCTGAGGCAGGAGGATTCCTGGGAGGTCAAGGCCAGCCTGGTCTACATAGGGAGTTCAAAACTGGTTTGAACTATATATGGTGAGACCCAGTCTCAAAAAAAAAAAAAAAACAATCAAAAAAAAAAAAAAAAATCAATCAAAAAACAAAACAAAACAAAACAAAAAACAACAAAGAAAACCTCCTGCCAGGGATGTAGCTCAGTGGCACCATGCCTGCCTCAAAAGTACAAGGTTCTGAGATTGATCCCTAGTACCAAAGAAAAAACAAACAAAACCACCTTCCCCTCAAAAGGTTTCCAAGCACAGATGATTTCACTGATGAATTTTATCAATTAAAATATAAATAAAGCTAAACCTAGAATTCAAAGGAAAACTTCCCATCATGTTTTACAAAGTCACCATAATTGTATTATTTTTAAATTAAAAAAATTTTTTTAGTATTAGAGATTGAATTCAGGTCCTCGTGCTTGCCAGGCGGGCACTGTGCTGCTGAACTAAATCCCTGGCCCAGTCATCATAATTTGAACATGAAAATATGAGGACATTCTAAAGATGTAAAAAAAAAAAAACCAATATTTCACTTCTTGCACAGTCATACATAGGTATTTAGTGCTGGTAATACATGTGTTATATTAAACTTTTGCAAAGCAAAAAAAAAAAAAAAGCATAGTATATTTTGATCAAGTGTAGCTTATCCCAGAAATGCAAGGATGGTCAAACTTTTGTAAATCAATAACGCTATTCAGTAAGGAGAATTAAGAGGAAAAAAAAAATCACACGATCATTTTAGATGCAGAAAAAATGGTCTCTGTAAAAAAAACACAACATCTATTCCTGACAAAAATTTCCGGGCAAATCAGAAAACAGCAGGGAACTTCTTCAATGTGATGATAGCTATTTACAACAAAAAAAAAATGACAAGCCCGATTGCTAACATCTTATGGGATGGTGAAACTGAAATCTTCTGTGAAAACCCAGACATTCCTTCTCACTACTGAAACTTGAACTGTTGCACTACAGGTCCAAGACTGTACAATAAAGCAGTGGTTCCCAACCTGTTTGGTGCCAAGATCTGGTTTCACAGAAGACAATTTCCCCACGGATGGGAAGGGAGGAGATGCAGGCAGGTGTGCGGGTGTCCAGGATGGTTCAAAGGAGCTCACAAGCTGGGTCCCTCGCATTCACACCCCTGTGAGAACCCAAGCCACTGCCACTGCGCTCTGATGGGAGGTGGAGCTCAGGCTACGCTGCAAAACGAAACAGGGTAAGGAGAGCGAGGACACAAGCGTCACACTACTTAGCCAAGAGCCGTGGGAAGAACGGTGTGGTGGAGAGGGATGCAGGTAAGGACATCTGTACACATAACCTCTCCGTGCCTGTGAGATACACAAATGGTAAGAACACAGATTCGAACTCTGGGAATTCACCTTCCCCAGTTTAATGTTTCTGAATTTTTTAGCTTACAACTGAAACAATTTGGCCTAACACAAAGAGCTAGCCATCTTTTAAAAATGTTAATACCATAAACTGAGCAGTGGTTCCTAACTCTTGGGGTTTTGCATGCTGAAGATTTAATAAAAGTCACAGACTCACTTCCTCAAGAAAACCAACATGCATTTATTTCAAAGATGTATGTACTACTAGATATAAAGACACGAACAACTTCTGGCTTAAGGGACTGAAGCCAATAAAAATCTTACTCTATGAATCCAAGATGGATATTTTAAATATAGATCATGGTTAAAAGAATGCTAATTTATCCAAATAACTCAGATGAGACCAGTGAGTTTCTTATTTTGTGTTCGTTTTTGGAGACAAGGCCTTGCTATGTGGTTGAGGCTGACCTTTGACCGTGGGGACTCTTCTGGCTGTCTCCTGAGCGCCCTGCGGCACCACTCCTGGATCTTATCTCTTAGACTCAGGAATGCAACCAGTTCATCATCAGCATTGAGAACCCAAAAGCATACAGTATTTATGTGAATGTTTATTAATGTTTGCCATATTGAAATTAAAACAAAATTTAAATATTTATTCATGAATGGCAAACTCATTTAACATAAGTAATACTTTCAATTAAAAATGGACTTTTAAAAAGTTGGTGAGAGGGCCGGGGATTTAGCTTAGTGGTGCTGGGCCTGCCTCGCAGGCACGAGGTCCTGAGTTCGATCCCCAGTACCAAGAAAAAAAAAAAAGTTGGTGAGAAAAGCAGCACTATTTCACATTCTGCAAATCTACTGGCTACAGCTATTCATGATCCTGCATTCAAATCTGCTCTCAAAACCTTAATATAACAAATACACCTGCAAATAATATATATGGATAAAGGTCTGCTCTCCACAATATAGAACAACTCTTATTACTCAACTAAAACCCTTTATTTTAAAAGCGAGCAAAAGATTTCAGTAAACGTTTCTCCAGAGGATACACACAGCCAACAAAAGTATGCAAAGATGCCCAGTATCATCCTGCACTGGAGAAATTCAAATCCAAATCACGATGAGATATCCAGTAGGATGGCAACGATGGATGGAAAAATCAGCGATAGCAACGGAGCCCTCATGCACTGCAGGTGGGACGTAAAGGGGCCAACGCCTTGGAAAGCAGCAACATAGCCCAGCAATCCGGCCCCCAGGTCATAACCTTTCACCCCATCCTTTGAGCTCTCCTTCACCACTCAATTTCCTCCGCGATTTCAGTGGTCCCGTCAGAACTCAGCCACAAAACCCAGGACTCTCCCTCGACATGCCCCCCAGCCCGGTTAATCTGTCTCACTCTCACAGGGTCGGGCCACATCCACAACCACCCGCAACCTGGCCAGAACAACGCTCTCCCCGAAATTCCTGCCCGGTCCTATCACCTTGCTGCTTAAAATTCAGCAGTGGGACTTACGCACTTTCGAGTCAACTGACGACCCGTGGCCCTCGGCATGGCCCGGGTGCGTTTGCCGCGCAGGCTCTTTGCACTGACCCACACCCGGCCCTCTACGTTTTTCATGCTCCATTCCAGCCGGCCCTCGCGGCTCGGCCTGGAAGCCCCTGGCCCCACCCCACGAGATGCAGGTGTTTTCGGCGCGAGTTGGGCGCGGATCCGCGA